CTTTGGGCCCAGAATGGAGCAGGGTGAACGAAGCTATGATCAGAGAGATGTCTATCTCCTTCCTGTTTAACATTGACTTTCCTGTCAGATGAGTCACTTGTGCCCAAGTGGTGCCCACGGCCGAGTCTGTGAGAACGTGCCAGCATGGTGTGAGGGGACCCAGAGGTGTAAGGAGAATTGGGGACGCCGGGAATATTGGAAGCAAGAGGAGCAGGAGGACTGCTGAGGGAGCAGTACAGCCTTTTCCCTGCCATTAAAGGCAGCTGCCAATTCTCTACCTCTAGCCAGTGTTAATTTGACTGAGGGGCCCCTCTGGGTAGCCTCTGGAGCAGGACAAACTAAATTCTCGGTGCTATAAAGGGGCACTCAAAGCCACACTCTCAAAGCCTCAGTTTCCCCATTGGTAAACTGGACCCACAACACATACCTATTCCCTTGGGGTATTTTATTTATTTATTTATTTTGGCTGCGTTGGTCTTCGTTGCTGTGCGCGGGCTTTCTCTAGTTGCAGCGAGCAGGGACTACTCTTTGATGAGGTGCGCAGGCTTGTCACTGTGGTGGCTTCTCTTGTTGCGGAGCACGGGCTCTAGGCATGTGGACTTCAGTATTTGTGGCACGTGGGCTCAGTAGTTGTGGCTTGCGGGCTGTAGAGCGCAGGCTCAGTAGTTGTGGCACACAGGCTTAGTTGCTCCACGGTATGTGGGATCTACCTGGACCAGGGCTTGAACCCGTGTCCCCTGCATTGGCAGGTGGATTCTTAACCACTGCACCACCAGGGAAGCCCTCTTGGGATATTTTTGATGACTCTTCAGAGGATTGTGTAACTCCTGGTAACAATAAACAGCCAATGAATAAATAGTTATCACTTCTTGGAGCTGAAACCCAGGAGTGCCAGGCCACCAGGGCTGCCAGCTGTTGGTGTTTTTCTTGCGGGTTTATCACAGAGGGAACTCAACATTTGCGTGGTTTGTCTTTGTGTGTCTGTGTGAAGGTTCAAGAAGACGGGGAAGCTGCAGGCTCTGAAAGAAGGCAAGACGAGCGTGCACCCACCGTATTCTTTGGGACAGCTGGTCCCTGAGAGGCCCAAGCCCACCCCAGTGCTTGTGCCCCTCATCTCCCCGCCGGTGTCCCCCAGCAGCCTTGGGTCTGACAACACCTCGAGGACTAGCCGACCAGATGCCAGTGGCCCTCAGAGACCTTATGACGTCAGCAACAGAGACTACTTCTTCCCCAGATAGCTGGCTGGCCGGGTGGCACCTGGCAGCCTGCGGTGTCAGGCCCCCTGGACTGTGTGGATGCTGAAGCACAAACTGGCTTAGCGAAAGACGCTCCTCGCTGCCATGCCAGCTCATCTCGGGTGCTCGGGGCCTCTGGCTTCGCCTCTACAGAAGGGCCTCGCAGAAAGTTCTGTGCTGGGTGAAAAAACGGTTTGCTGCGTCTGTTCAGAAGGAAGAGGTGGTTGAGTTTTTGAACCACTCTTCCCCCAGTGCCCTGCTTACAGGGCTTAGAGTGAACTCAGGCCCCCGTGAAGAGAGGGGTGTCAAGACTCTACCGGACACGCAGGTGGGCAGAGCCGGGTGGCTGCACAGACCTCAGACTCCCCCCTGGGCTTGGTGTGGACAAGTTGCTGGCCGCCCGCGCACCCCGACCCACCTCCAGGAGCTGCACCCTCAGGCGGGTGGGATGAATGTCCAGCCAAAGACTCCCTGAGTCGCTTATCTCTTGGCCCACCGCACAGTTTCATCTTCTAAGCTTCTTGAAGCCCAAGTGCCTTCTCACTTCAGTTTTTCTAGGCCTGAGATTGGCTTTTCTTAAACCACCGTGGCTGGGGGAAAAGTCTCACCTGCTTTTCTTCACTGAACAGCTGAGAGGGGGGTGATTGTATCTCAGGGCCTGATGGTTTGAAATGGGATTATAATCAGTTCCTCGTTAGCATTTTCCTAAATGTGAATGATAGTCCTAGGCGCTTGCTGAATCCAGAGGCAGCGGCACCGGCTCCATGTCCCTTTTTGGATCCCAGGACTTCAGGAAAGAAGCCCTGGGGAAGGAGGGGAGTGGTGGGGACAGGGTCTGTCTCCATGCTTGTCTGTCATAGCATTGCGGAGGGGGACAGCGGCCTCTGCAAACCACCATTCTCCATTCTCCCCCTCCCCTGGCCCTCCAAAATAAGAACTGGCATTAGGGAGGGCTTCTGCCAGTGGTGAAATCAAAGCTGCCTTATTCCAGCTTTGTTTATTTTAGTTTCAGCTGAGCCTGACTAACCAGGGAAGGTAATATTTATGCAAAAAGACAAAAGAACCCGGCAAGAATGGATTTTAATTTGGTCTTTAAAAAACTGCTGACTATTTTATCTTCAGAGGGTGGAAGATCCAGTATTAGCTGAGTGTCAGTATAGAAATAATGGGGGAAAAGCACAATAGCTTTGTTTAGCACAAAACTGAGTCAAGTGGAAAAGGAGGAGAAAAGGAGATTTTGCCCTATTAGAGAAGAGACTCTGGTTTCATTCTAAATTTTGTTTTTGCCTTAAAAAGTGAAAAAAAAAAGTCTGCCTCTTCTCTAATTTAGCGGAAAAGCAGCTTGTTACTACTCCCCCAGGCGGCTGAGAAGGAAACGGTGTCCAGCTCCGTGTCACAGTGCTGGGAAGCAAGCCTCCCACGATTACCCAGCAGGTCAGCTGAAAATCCCCACCCCTGAAAGCCATGAGCCCTTGGGTATCAGAGGAGGATCATTAAAAAAAAACAACAACCCTAAACTTGTTGCCTTCCTCTCTTTAGTTAGTTCCTTGAATGTGATTCAGTTCAGCTGGTATTGAAGCACCGAGTAAATGTCTAGCCGTGACACTGCAGTAACCACTTCAGTTTACTTTTCTGTCTGGGCTTTGAAAATTCAGTGATGTTAGTGGTTACCCAAACAAGCACCCTCAAGTATTCTGGGATGTCCCAGAATGAAGCTGTGATTAAAATCAGTCGTGTAACCACCACTAAAAATTTACCAGACCACAAAACTTTTCTAGTAGTCTCCCCTTTTAGAAAAATAACCACCAGCACCAGATAGGTGGGGAAAGGATGGAAATGACCGTGTTTTATTTACCGTTTGCCAGGTTCAAACTGTTAGGATGTTGGACTACGCAGTGATTTTCATTGCTGGCTTTGGCTGTAAATTTCAGACCCTGTTGCTGCTTCTGGCAACTGATCTTAACTTGACAAAAGTGAGGCAGGTGGTTTTGTTTTGTTTTGTTTTTCTCTAAATTTTCCTTGACTGAGAACAGCAAAAATGCTGTTAAAGGGAAATATAAAAAATGAGAATCTGCACGAGATAGGGTGATTCTGTGCCCACGGTTCTTTAACTCTGACAAAGTTTTACCCACGTGTAATATTACCAGAGCCAGGCAGAGCGGTGCTAGTGGAAGATGTGAAATCCAGATAGCTCATGATTGCTGAGAGCTAGGCAGCTTTGATCTCCAAATTGTTATTGCTTTCATTATTATTGGAACGGAACTGTGTTTTTTTTTAATTGAAGAGGGTTTTTTTCCCTTTTTTTTTTATAAGCTAGTATAGATGAAGGAAAAATATTTGTCTTCTCTGGGTCGTAGGCCTTGCTCAGTGTACACAGGTATACACCCTAAGCTTTCTCTGTCCTCGAATCTGTGGTCAGTGAATGTGTGTTTCAATCCACAGGTCATCCTTACCTGTGTTTCTGCAGCACACGTGCTGCCTTTTATCCTCAACAGTGATGCTACTCACCGAATATCTGTAGCCATCTGCTACACGGCCAGATGTGAAATGTTATTAGCACAGCGACAATTTTTGTTAAAGATGGGCAACTTATCCTGCTGGGTGGGAAAAGTTGAAAATATGCTAGATCAAGGTCTCAATTAAAGTGGTCATTAATTTTTGTAGCATTAATGAAAAAAAAAAAGGTCAAGGAGGTATAGCATTGAATGTGTCAACAAAGCCCTTGGTGACTCTGAGAGCTCTTTGCCCTGAGGGAGCCTGGCCCTTGCAGTTTGTTGGCTAGGCTCTTGGCTCACCCCGAGTGTCCGCCATTTCCCAGCTGCCCCCAAGGGAAGGAAACACCGTTACGAGGGGTGGAATCTGATGCTGGAATGGATTGGGAGCCCAGCCGGTGGTGGACAGAGCTGAGCAGGGCAGGCTGGGAGTGGTCATGGTTTGTGGGTTTCGTGCAGAATGTTCAGGAATGTCTTGGCTGGCTGCTTTAGTGCTGAGCTGTATCGCTTCATCAAAGGCACTTAAGATTGACCCAGTCGGGGAGGAGTTGGTGAGAAATTTATCTTAATTTGGAGAAGCAGGGGCAACTGGTGGTCCTTGGGAGCAGGAGCCTGGATCCCAGCCTTCCATGCAGCAGTTGGCAGTGAGGCTGTTGCTGAAAGGGAGCCCAGCTGGCTCAGCTTCTGTGCCAGACACTCCTGAGCATCCCCGAAAGGTCCTTCCAGCATCGTGTCCTTGGTGTAGCCTGGCCCCAGCGCCAGTGAGTTTCTATGGCAACCTTAATGATTATTAAGGAACATTGTCAGTTGTATGAACATATGCTCAAATGCAGATCTACTTCAGAAGGAAAGGATTGGAACAGCATGTAGCAAGGCTGTTAATTAATAGAGAAACCGTATTTGGATGGAGATCACACATCCGTTAAATAGAATACCTCAACTTTACATTGTTTTTTTCTGGAGAGAAATAATAGTTTTAAGTTTTTGTTTTTATTTTTTTACTTAATTATCTGAAAGCAAATACCAAAGGCTGATGACGTCTGTATATGGGGCAAAGGGTCAGTATGATGTTTTTCAATGTCTTCTCTTTTTACCAGCTACGTTGCTTTTAAAGTGAAAATTGTAAATGTTTGAAATAAATAAGCTCTAAAACTATGCTTGAGAGGTCATTTATGCTTTGGCACCTGGGTCATTTCAAGGAAAGACTTGAATGATTATGGGGGAAAGGGGTAAGGAAAGATGGGTTTAAAATGAAGGAGGACCATTTTGGGGTGAGCTTCTCCTTAATGCAGGATTAAGTTACCTCTGGGAAAAAAATCAGGTACGTTTAAGAAATAAGTAGCAATCTCTCAAAGACTTTAATGATGAAAGTATTTCCCCAAATGAGCCCTGGGGTTTCTGGAAGGGGCGTGGTTGCTTCTGCCACGTTTACATCACTATCGGGCGATGAACCTGTGGGGAAGGAAAAGGAAGGGCCATTATTCATCAGAAGGCTGTTTACTGGACAGGCGCGTTAACGGAATCACAAAGGCAACCTTGTACTTCTTGATCATCAGATAGGCTGCATCTGTCCCCTATTGAAAAGGGTCCTCAATAGGAAAAACTTGGGACACAGCCATCCCATATCTTCCAAACAGAGGAAAGTCATCGTGTGGATGCTCTGTGGATAAGAGTTGCTGTGTAAACAGTTCAGGGCTGGGGAGGAGGAAACTGCATGGAAACCTGGAAATTGTGTAACTCAGACCAAAAGCTGAAGTGTGAGGCCCTGCTGTGTGACCCCACCCCACCCCCGGCCGCCTGGGCAATCAGAGGAAAGCCTCACGACCACACCTACAGGGCCCATCGACTCCTTGAGGATGCCACTGTCTCATTTAAGGTTGGTCCCTGTCTTGCAGAAAGTGACACAGGAAACAGATGTCCCTATGGTGGCTTGGCTGTGTGGGCCCCACGGAGGGTGCAGGAGTGGGGGTAAGGGGCAGGAAATGGGAGAGGGTGCCTCCCTCTTCTCCACGGTGTCACTGTTAGGATGACATGCTTACGATGCTCTTTCCAGAAGAATTTGGGGGAGCAGATGGTGAATCTTGTAGAGGATGGCAAGGAACACTCAGTTCCTGGAACAGCCACTAAGGAAAGGGTTTTCCTTATTTATTAATGCATAAGGAGACCAAACCTTTCTCCATGTCTGTGAGAAGCACAGGCCAGCGGCAGGGAACTGTGTGCCTTCCTGCAGTTGAAGGGCCTTAAACTGGTCCATGCAGTGTTCAAGGGCTGGGCTGGGGGCACAGCAGCCCATCCGGCAGAGTGGTGACCAGGTGGGCTGCCTGAGTGGCCTGTCGCTTTAAACAATCCTGAGCATGAGAGCGAGCCCTGCACTATGCTTCAAATACTGCCAACGCCTCCTTTCTCTGTGAAAGTTCTGTCTTCTTGCTGACGTGTGTTACTTAAAAACAACAGAACAACCTCAGCCACGTCTTATTTCATACCAGCAGTTTTCCGTGACCATCCAAAACATGAATACAATGAAGTTTTTCAGTAAAATCTGGAAACACTCATACTATGGGAGTATGCAATATTCAGTTAGGATATTTCTTCTAAGGTAACTTCAAGTTGCTTAGTAAAGCTGCCCAATGTCCACAAAGAAAATAGCCTACTATTTTCTTTCTTTAAAATTTATTTTATTGAAGTATAGTTGATTTACAACGTTGTGTTAATTTCTACTGTAGAGCAAAGTGATTTAGTTATACATATATACATTCTTTCTCATATTATTTTCCATTATGGGTTATCACAGGGCATTGAATACAGCTCCCTGTGCTATACAGTAGGACCTTGTTGTTTACCCATTCTATATAGTTTGCATCTGGGAATTCCCTGGCGGTCCAGCGGTTAGGACTTGGTGCTTTCACTGCTGTGGGCCCAGGTGCGATCCCTGGTTGGGGAACTAAGATCCGACAAGCCATGCTGCACGGCCAAAAAAAAAAAAAAAATTTGCATCTTCTTATCCCAAACTCCCAATCCTTCCCTCCCCCACCCCTACCCCCTTGGCAACCACAAGTCCATTGTAATATTTCATTATGATGTTTTAAAGAATGAAATTTACTGGGAGGACAGTTGAATTCTATTTTGGTTTTTAAATGCCTGTGCTGCACAATGAGGGTTTTGCAATGATGAATGGTGTAAGTGGGACATTCTGGAGTCTGTGCCCAACCATAGACGAAGAGAGGAGGGAAAGGTAGAGGAGGCCAGCGTGGGCACACCCGCTTGTGTGGGCAGCATGTTTGCCCTGCAGAGCGCAGGTATACACGGGTGTACACTGGAGTCACCACAACCGAGCAGGGATTCCAGATCAGTCTGATGTGGACTGAGATGCTTCTGAGGAAGGTGGTGGTAATGGACCCTGAGGGTGACTGTGGACCGTGATTGTTTCTATGATGAGGTGGGTGTTCTGGGGCCTCGGACTTCAGGCCTTGGCGAACTTCAGTGGATCATGTCCATGGATGGGTCCAGGGATTAGAGGCAGCCCAGGCTCCACCCCCAGGCCCTCTGAATCACAAAAGTGGGTGTCTGTTTACATGAGTGTAAGGTCCTCAGTTTCTCCTGCTGTGCAGCCAGCTCTGACGGTCTCTGTGCTGGAGACCACAGGGCAGGAGGTGAGATTCTATAGCAACATGTTACTGTGGGTACTAATTGGGTAACAAAATCTGTGGACAGCAAAGAGCTACACCCCCGGCCCTACTGGTTACCTAGAAGGCCACCATCCCCTTTTGGTCAAGGTGGTCTATTAAAATTAGCTAATAGGGCTTCCCTGGTGATGCAGTGGTTGAGAATCTGCCTGCTAATGCATGGGACACGGGTTTGAGCCCTGGTCTGGGAGGATCCCGGTACTAATTGGGTAACAAAATCTGCGGACAGCAAAGAGCTACTCCACCGGCCCCACTGGTTACCTAGAAGGCCACCATCCCCTTTTGGTCAAGGTGGTCTATTAAAATTAGCTAATAGGGCTTCCCTGGTGGCGCAGTGGTTGAGAATCTGCCTGCTAATGCAGGGGACACGGGTTCGAGCCCTGGTCTGGGAGGATCCCACATGCCGCAGAGCAACTAGGCCCGTGAGCCACAACTACTGAGCCTGCGCGTCTGGAGCCTGTGCTCCGCAACAAGAGAGGCTGTGATGAAGAGTGGCCCCCGCTTGCCACAACTAGAGATAGCCCTCGCACAGAAACGAAGACCCAACACAGCAAAAATAAATTAATTAATTAATAAACTCCTACCCCCAACATCTTAAAAAAAAAAATTAGCTCATGATAACGACAACCGTTTATGGACCCTCCACCATGTGCTTGACAAACAGGATATTCTTTCTCATAATGGCACTGCAAGGAAAGTGTTTTCACCTGTTTACAAGTGAGGTCACAGAGGCTCATATTGGTGAAGATAGTGATCTAAGACACCTGAGTTAAGAGGCTGACCTAGACCCCAAACCTATGTCTGCCTGACTCCAAGGCCAGTGCTCTTTGTGTGGCCCCTCAGCCCCTGGTGACAATGAAGATGGGCCTATCTTTCCAACCCCTTTTCCAGGCCAGGTGCCCTCACCCTGTGCTGGGTGGGGCCTGGTCCACTCACGCCTGCGGGGAGATGGACCTGGATTCCTCATTTGGTTTATCACACCTGTCAGTGTGGAAGCTGAGACCCTGGGAGTCTGAGCCACACGCTGGTGGCCTCAGCGTGTCCCTGAGGCCACCAGGCCCTGGCGCTGCTCACATAATAGGCAGCCACAGAGAAGATGGGCCACAAAGGGGAGGGGCAGCAAGCAGCTCCTTACACTTAATCGTCCTTGATCAGAAACCAAACCAAACCACTTCCCCTTCTCTGTATCAGCCCTTTATCTATTCCTCTGAACTCTGTGTTCTGTTGCTTCCTTGGTGTAAACTTTAATGAACTTCCTTGAAATCCCCTAACTGTGCTTTTTTTATGGCGTGGGAATCTTTTTCTGTCCACTGCCTCTGAAAGGGGTGAATGATCACCACACTAAGAGGTGGTTCTCTCTGGGCCATGAGATCCATTCAACCACCACGCCGGCTGCAGGGATATAAGAGGAATCAATTCCTCCCCCAAGTGTCACTGAGCCACACAATTAAGGTGCAAACGCTCTCTCTGGGAGCAAGTGACTAATCTGGTCTAGGGAGTCGGGGAAGGAAGGGATAGGGAGAGTGAAGACGGAGGAGGAGGGCTCCGGGTGGAGGGGGCGGCCCAGGGAGGCTGCTGGTGCAGGGCCTGGGGCTGGGGGGGAGGCCTGCCTTGGACATGCTCTGTGGTGAGCAATCTTTTGATATCCTAAGAGCATTAGGGAGCTGCTTGAAGACCAGATTTGCACCTTCTTTTTTCTTTTATGCATATTAAAATTTTTTTCATGAGCCTGTATGTTTTTACAACTTGAGTAAGCTTTTCACTAACTAACTATAATCCCTCTGTTTTGGGATAGTTCAGCTAGGTTGTACTGCTTATGAAAAATTATTTATTAAAAAGTGCAAGACGGGACTTCCCTGGCGGCAAGGAATCTGGTTAAGAATTCACCTGCCGGGGCTTCCCTGGTAGCTCAGTGGTTAAGAATCCACCTGCCAATGCAGGGGACACGGGTTTGAGCCCTGGTCCAGGAAGATCCCACATGCTGCAGAGCAACTAAGCCCGTGCACCACAACTACTGAGCCCACATGCCACAACTACTGAGCCTGAGCTCTAGAGCCCACGAGCCACAACTACTGAGCCCACGTGCCACAACTACTGAGCCTGCGCTCTAGAGCCCGCGAGACGCAACTACTGAGCCCACGTGCCGCAACTACTGAAGCCTGCGTGCCTAGAGCTCGTGCTCCGCAACGAGAGAAGCCACCGCAATGAGAAGGCTGCCCACCGCAGCGAAGAGTAGCCCCGGCTCACCGCAACTAGAAAAAACCCGCACGCAGCAACAAAGATGCAATGTAGCCAAAAATAAATAAAAAAAAATTTAAAAAACGCTTTAAAAAGTACTATATTGCTAAAAAGTGCTAACCAGTGTCTGAGCCTTCAGTGAGTTGTACATAATCTTTGCTGGTGGAGGGTCTTGGCTCATTGTTGATGGTGCTGACTGATCAGGTGGTGGCTACTGAAGGTCGGGATGGTGGTGGCAATTTCTCAAAATAGGACAACAATGAAGTTTGCTGCATGCATTGACTCTTCCTATCATGAATGATATCTCTGTAGCCTGCAATGCTGTTTGATAGCATTTTACCCACAATAGACCTTCTTTCAAAACTGGAGTCAATCCTCTCAAACCCTGCTGTTGGTTTATCAACTAAGTTTATGTAATAGTCCAAATCCTCTGTTGTCATTTCAACAACTGTCACAGTTTCTTCACCAGGAGTAGAAGAAACATCTACCTCTCTGCTCATCCATAAGAAGCATCTCCTCATCCATTAAAGTTTTTTCATGAGATTATAGCAATTCAGTCATATATTCAGGCTCCACTTCCAATTCTAGTTCTCTTGCTATTTCCACCACACCTGCAGTTACTTCCTCCACTGAAGTCTTGAGCCCTTCCAAGTCATCCGTGAGGGTTCCAATCAACTTCTCCCAAACACCTGTTAATGTTGATATTTTGATCTCTTCCCATGAACCACAAATGTTCTTAATGGCAACCAGAATGGCAAATCCTTGCCAGAAGGTTTTCAATTTCCTTTGCCCAGATCCATCAGAGGAATCACTATCTACAACAGCTAGAGCCTTATGAAATGTATTTCTTAAAGACTAAGACTTGAAAGTGGAAATTACTCCTTGATCCATGGGCTGCAGAGTGGATGTTATGCTAGCAGGCATGAAAACAACATTAATCTCGTTGTACATCTCC